TTCCCCGCGCTTCGTGACTGCCACCTTCATGCCTTCATGGCACTGCCTTGGGTCGAACCGCAAATTATTGACAAACCAAGCTTTGCACTGATCATGAAGCTGTATGCAGAGTATTTTCACATCCAGTTGCATTCTTCATCCATCCAGCCAACAATCTCGCATGCTCCCACCTAGGCTGTGGGCTCCTAATCAATTACGGTATACCTACGTGTGAAAGCACAAACACACACTGCTGCATATATATCGTGAAGATGCTAACAAGACACGCAGCTGACACACCATCATCAAAAGTATGCCACGGGATCGTTGCCCCGCCTTTGCGATCCTTGATGACAGGGCTTTCAGCAACCTGCTGCAAGACCTGCTTGACATAGAAGGACTCCGAACACAAAATGACGCCGATGGAAGAGGTCGTAGCACTGGAGCCCTTCCTCTGCTTCTTCCCACTGCAGTACACAGTAAAGCTCCTGAGTCCCCGTAGCAACATGCACATATATGAACACGTACACAGCTCAACCTGCATGAATGTATACATCGATCTGTGCAAACTGAGGCTCTGCTTCTTCAGCTCATCAGGACAAACAAGGTTCGGGAGCTCAGCATTCTTCAGGGTCTGCAAAATCGCCTGAGCCTTGTCAAGCCTTTTGCTACTCTTTCTCAGCTGCGCCGGGGATACATCCTTGGCCTTGGAGTTCTTCGCATTCTTCGGTGATGACTTGTCCTTCTTAGAGGCCCCATCCTTGCTAGAGCCAGCAGCTTCACCGCCCTTCTTCATGAGCTTCTGAAGTCTTGTGTTACGGCTTGCAGGCTTCTTAAGAATCGGTCCCGCATCATCACCCTCATCACCTTCCTCATCGTTGGCATGATCATCGGCGCCCCCGGGCACCTCACCCTCGGTCGCGACCTTCGCGACCTTGAAGCCACGACCCCCACCGTCCCGCTTCCTCTTGGCGATCCGGCGGTTCTCATCATTGGCAGCAGCCTCCAGTCATTTTCAGGGGTATCATGATACAGTGAACTGCAGATCTTAACTGGATCACCATGGGACCTCTCTGATACGTGTACGAACGACATCTTGAGCGGCTGTGATGTGGTCATAGCGCCGAAACTCTTGATCACAGCTTGCATCCATGAACTCCGCAGGGGGGGCTTCTCTGAACCGTATCAAGGGTTCCCGATCCTGATCTCGGAAGATTGCTAGTCCGAAGAGGATTCAACAACAACAATGCATATGCAGATAATCGAGGCTAGACTCTTTCGTTGCAAACGACGACTTGTCATGATGATCCGGCTCAGGGGCTGCCTCTGGTAGTGCCGGAACCTGCGGAGGCGCGAGCTCCGGATCTGCATCAAGATTCGCCAGCACTACCTTGAGTGAAGTAGGTTGCTTCTGACCTAGGGTAGTCGTGGTATTTTCATGAAAGGGACCTGCTAGTACTGGGCAAGGTGGTTGCTGCAGGCTATCGGCAAGTGCATAATTATAATAACAATTATGTAAATAACTTAGAGTCCGAATGATATATACATAAAGGATTCTATGTATATAGCTAGGTATATGTGTGTGTCTCCAATTAAACTACAGAGACATACATGGTCAGATTAGCACTTTCATAGAAATGTCATAGATTTCGGAGCAGATAGAAAGTTCATCTGACGCTCTATTTTAATCACAATCTATGTTGTTACCAAAAAAAAGAATTACGATCGTAACTCGCCCGGATCCCTAGGCCATGGTTATTGGTGTGATCCGTGAACTTCGATGTTATTACCGACATAAGAATGTTTTACTATGGCAGTCGTCTTGTCAGTTATCTAGATCTTTAAAGTTTAAACTCTCTGTCTATCTCTCGCAGCAGCCGTGTACTCCCTTACCAAAAAAAAACATGTCTGCCCCAGACTTCGTATATTGCGATGGCCAAGTTACCTCCTCAGGAGAGAAACCCATCACCCTCGCCCCACGATGCTTAATCCCCTTCGGGGACAGCATCTGTGCAAGCTTGTCCGCCTCCTCCAGGGTTCGGTCGGCCTCCTCCTCCTGGCCCTCGCGATCGGGCTCGGGCGGTGGAGCTTCGAAGTCCTGGGATTGGAATGAAAAAAATGGCCGAGACCATCTGTGTTCGGGATTTCCGAGGGGATTGCTATAACAATAGTACTGGGTAACACAGACTCGCATTAAGCGATATATATTGCACCTACAAAATCAACAGACTCCCATCCATCGGGTTTTGAGGTAAGCTTCATCAGGCATGGCATCGGAAGCCTTCAGTCGCCACATGCGCTTGAGCACGTCCACCTGTGGGTTCCTGCCGGTTAGCACGGCTAGTCTGTATGGTGATCTTTCCCAGAGGACCAGTTTATTGGACAAGTGTAATTTAGCAATAGCTTATTCATTGGAGTAGCCCATGTAATAAGGCCTTAGTTGTGGGAACCCTCCGGAAAGAAATCCAAAGGATACGATCTAGCTTCGAACCCTCAGACCCTGGTCCCTGCAGTATACCATCAACATACCATCACGAGTGTATATTGCACCGTAGGCGATGTCCTCGCAATTCTATTAATCAGGCTAGCTCATAGTATGATACTTATTATAATTATACATATCCGAGTTTATGAGACGAGATACACATGTACAGGGTATACATGTGTAAATACATGCATGTAATATATATGAATATATACATATATGTGTATACTATTAACACAGGGATCGGTAGCTAGCTCGTGTGAGGCACACAGTAGCTTCAGTATATATATATATATATATATATATATACACACACTTATGCTAATGGTTTTATAATTATATAGCGATATGGACCCATGCCCAAGATTAGAGCCAATGCTATGCTGCCAATATCTTTTTAGCATCCTTATAAATGTTTAAATTTCATCATGTACACATAACTCGATTTCTTTTCCTATGTATATGCTATACATATACATATATATATATATATATGTGCATATATATATATATATATATATATATATATATATATATATCTATAGAGACCCCACTTGTATATACAGTCAATATATCTGGTCTAACTATAACTATATTCATCCACCATACGGTGCATATGACAGTTCACCCTGCATAACCATATAATTCCATGAGGATCATATGTGGACTATGTGTGTGCATAACATGTACTCGGTGTGCATCTACACATGCAGTGGTTCTTTCACAAAAATGAAATGCAACAATCCCCAGGCCCCGATCCTGGCACCATCAGACTTCCTCAGGCCTTTCGTGAGGTGGGTCAGCATGCTGCGGAAGCGAGCACCTTCAACTCGGCCCCATTCCTCGGGGGGGATCGAAACTGGTTCAGTATCCTAGCCATACAAATGCCCATGAGCAGAAAACCTCTCCGATACCCTGTCTAACTTGATGCAAATGAGCTTCGCGACAACGGCCTTTTCCTCCACGCATGTGGTATATGCATTCTCCGTGAAGATTCAAGCTGATGCTGAGGCATAGGAAGGCTACCTCGAAGTCAGCTAGAGGCGCAATCTTCGGCGCCACTTCCAATACATATTCCTTGACCAATGTGTAGTTGGCCTCTAAGTCTGAGTTGTACACCTCGGATGTGGACTTATTATATAATGTGTGTGTACTGCCTCTGTTAACCTCATATACTGACTATGTATGTGTGTGTACATATTTCTTATTCATAACATGAAAGTATATATTTACTTTATATGCAGCAAAAATGCATACACACACCATGCACGGTCATCCCCAAATGATGCGATCATCTCCATACTCAAGCTGCGGATAAGTGGCAGCAGCTTTCTCACGGCCAGCCCACTCCACAAAGGAACGCTCCTGAATCCGTGTACCCCGTGATGTGCTGCTGTGTGTGAAAAAATCAACTCGAACAACCGAAATGATCCCCGAGTAGTGCATGGAAAGGGACCAATGGTGTGGGAACTGCCATGATCTCTGCAAGCTGCGCTTTCAGGATGGGCAGCAGGGTGTCGTGGATTTGGTCGGCCTCTTCCTTGCATATTGTTGAGTTTCATCCTTATAAAGCTCCTATCGCACTTCTGTCGAATCGCCAGAAAAGTCTACACTCCACAACCGATGCTTGCAAGGCACTGACACATGAATGGTCATCGGAGTCTTCAGGGTCCTATAAGAGGGCTTCGACTCCATTGCACTTGCGCGGGCTGCCCCAGCTGGGACACCAAAAACCCAAACAAGTGAGCGAAAAAAAGTCTGCAACGAACAGAATCGGCACGGGCAATCAATGCAGACATGTTGTACACAGCCCAATGAAAGCACATCAGGTGCACAGCTGCAGAGCATGCAGTGGGAGGGCGGACCTTGTGCCCTGTTGTGCCCCAGGTACGCCGATTGGCGCAAGAGACCCATGGTACGACACACACATGCTACAGTTAATTAGATATTGGCCTACTGTGCTCACACATGTATGTCCAGGCACATGCTTCGTTACAACATGCTGATCGAAAAACCTTCAGGTGTACATCTTCTACACCATGTGCAGGAACCCGATGCTCAGAACTCCATGCATAACGGTCTGATCTAGTTGTAGCAACATACTTTACATATACACGCACATCTATATGTAAATATGCATATATTATTACTTGCAGATGTATAACACATGTACCTGAGCCTGGGAAGGGCAGAGTCGCGAAGGTGCAGCCCACCCAGCCTCTGCGCGGGTGCACTTAATAACCCACGACCCTGCAAAAACAGCCTAGAATTGCATATTTGAGGCCTTTCCGAAAAAGGTCCTGAATACAGAATAACCCTGGAAAGACCCTCCTCCCGAAGCGATTTCAAGAGTATATGATTATCGGGTCCTCGGACCCTTAGGGGTACAGTTTGCAATGCAGGTTTCTCCAGCAAACCTGCGTTAGCTGCGCATAAGAAAAAAGTGCACCACATCGCTGCCAGACCGGCAGCTGCAACGACGGCTACACGATGTGAGGTCTGTGCAACGGAGTTCTGGACCACGGACAGGCTGCACATGCACTTGAGGAAAAACAAGCGCTGCTTGGTCACCACCGAAGGGGCGGACCTTGACGCCACTAGGCCCACCAGGAGTGCCGTTGGCTTCACCTGGGCCCCTGCTGCACGCTCAGCAGGTCCAATGCCTTTTTGGGCCACCTTGCAGCCGCCAGACCTGCACCAAGAACCGCCACGCTCTTTAGTGCGACCGGTTTGGCCGACACCGCCGCCTAGAGCGGTTCTGCACAAGCAGCCCCATTTGGAGGTCTTTGTCCGACAGCTTGTCATCTTCGGCCTCCGCTCCCAGCCGACTTTCGAGGAATGGCCCATCGGGTTGCTTGATAAGTCTGTGGTTGATGTTGTTAGGTGCGCTCTGGCCGCAGCAGATTTTGTCCTAGCGCGGAGCGCGGGATCCTTCAAAAGCGGTAGATGGAACTGTGGAGTTTGCCACGGTCGCGTTTTCCCTGACTCGAAAGATCAGGTTACAGATCTACCCACACAGTGGCAGATCTGCGTTCAACAGACGTCGCGCTGAGCGCGACTCGGACCATGCATGCGGAGTGCGCTTTTTGAGCCCAGCCATCATGTCCAAAAAACCTTGTATAGAACCCTTATAGATCCCTTTAAGGAGCCCTTAAAGGATACCCCCCTAGACCCCGCGTTTTCTCGAAGAGTCTCTGAGACTTTCAAGGCCGAGGACGTCGCGGAGGCCGCGGTCGCAAGCTCTCCGGCTGACTTTGGAGGTTCAGGGTTTAGGCTGAGGGTGAATCATGGGAGGCCAAATGGGGTTTTAGCCTATGGGGGTTTAGTAGGGATTAGGGTTCCCATAATAGGGTTCATATTAAGGAATCCCTACGCCAAGAATCTTAAACCCCCCTTCTGGCCTCCCATCAGTGAAACATTTCAGACCTACAGTTTTACTTAAAGGATCATGGGACTCAGTATGTAGAGCTATTAACTATTATTAGGGTAACTATACTTATAACCTCAAGTGGGGTACTTATAACCTTACATACTCTGTCCCATGATCCTGTAAGTAGGGCTTTTAGGGTGTTTAGTCTCTTAGGGTGCATCCAGAATTCCAAGTTTAGAGTTTTCGGGCTTGGTGTCTCGGTATATGATGATCTAGTTCGATGTATTTATTAAGGTTTAGGGAGTATTGGGCTTTGGGTGTGGGCGCTTCGGTCTTTGGCACATGCGACTGCTACTAGGGAATTGCCACGACTGTTTACATACCCAACTCCACGAACCCTTTAGCCTGAACCTAAATGGGAGTTTCCGAAAATAGGGGACCCCAATGTAGTACCCTAAATAGTAGGACCCCTAATAAAACGAGCCCACAATAAGGTGCCCCGAATTTTCGGAAACTCCCCAATCTCAAACCGTATAAATCGTTGAGTCAAAGGCATTCCATCCCCACCCAGAGCCTCCAAAACCCCTTAATTAAGGAATACACCTTAAATTTTAATAGGATCCCTAATATGATTTTAAGGTATATTCCTTAATTAAGGGGTTTTGGAGGCTCTGGGTCCCCGCCCTCCGAGGTCAAGGTCTCGCTCCCGAGGGGGCGGCGGGAAGAGCTGGCAGCAGAAAATGATTGCAGTCGGGCCGCATGAAGAGGGTTTAGGGAGCTTTAGGGTTTACCTTGAAATCCCAAACCCTACTTTTTTGTGGGTTCTTATTATAAACCCTAATATGGAATTTATAGGGACCCTACAAGAAAGTAGGTTTTGGTAGCTTAAGGTAGGGTTATACTGTAAGAGTTCAGGGTTTAGGGAAGTTTAGGGCATACGGGCCGCATGGAGAGGGTTTAGGGAGGTTTAGGGTTTACGGCTAGACTGTAAGAGTTCAGGATTTAGGGAAGTTTAGGGCATACGGGCCGCATGAAGAGGGTTTGGGGAGGTTTAGGGTTAAGGGCTTAGGGGTTATATCGGGGTTCAGGGTGGAAGGTTTGTAGCGTTCAGGGGATAATAAGGTTGAGGGTTTATTGGTCGGGGATGTGAGATGACTGAGGTGGACCGTGATGGCGTGTTAGGAGTTTGGGGTGTCGGGGCCTTTTGGCACGTGGTTTGTAGATTCGGGTGGCAACCCTGTGCGTCTTCGCCCCAACCTCTGCAACCAAGCTACCGTAACCCTTTGAGCCCTTGTTAATTAGACGCGTCAAGTCCACAGACCCTACTTGGAGGGTCATGGGTAGTTATAAGTAGGGTTCTAAATAGGACAACTAGACCTAAAGCATAAAGCCTAAACCCTGAACCCTAAACCCTAAACGCCAAAAGCCCTAAACTCCGAAACCCGGAAACCCTAAACCCCTAAACCCAAGATCCACCCCGATCTGAGACAATAACAAAAACCAAACCCGAAACCCGACGCCAGCAAAGAAGCCAGGAGCCGCTTTACCCCAGCACCGTCAATACTGCGCGACTAGGAACGGCTCCTTTGAGGGATCCATAGGGTTCCTTTAGCGGCTCCTTTAACATTTTAGGGTTTCTATAGGGGCCTTAATGATTAGGACAGGGTACTTGGGGCCCATGATATTATAAACATAATAAGGAACCCCCCCCAAAAAATAGGAAAAAGTAAGCATTACGGCCCCTATATTATACCCACTGCCCCGGGCTGAGACCTAATTAAGCCTGAACCCTCAACTGCGCATGCCCTTCACCCTAAACCCCAGCTTATGAGCATAGAAGCTTGAACATATACATAACACAACCCAAAACCCCAGTCTGTTTGCGACGCCTTTTTTTGCACCCTTTATCGGGTTTAAGCAGCCGAAAGCCCCTAAACCCTACAAGCCCTAAACCCGAAATCCCCTAAACCCTATAAGCCCTGAACCCACAACTCGGGGGAGCCCTAAAACTCGGAAACACGGCATCAGCCGAGGACCGCTATAACGTGGACGATGCTGCGCAGAGGAAGCTTGGGTTGCTCCCACCCGAGCAGGCAGAATCGCTCCTCCGACGCTTGGACTCAAGTTTGTCTCGTGTTGGTTTTAGGGCCTCAGAGATCATGGTTTAGGGTCTTAGGGTTTTGGGGGGTTTAGGGTTTAGGGCTTTAGGGTTGGTTTAAGGTTGGGTTTTCAGGGTTCAGAGTTGGGGTGCAGGGTTTAGGTTTCGAATTTAGGGTTGTGTCTTTTTGCTTGGAGTGTGGTATTAAGGAGCTCGGTGTAAGGCTTGAGGCTGTTTTGGTTTGGTTGGGCTTCTGAGGGTTTCGGGTTTTATGGGAACGAGCCCCCAAAAATTGAAAGCTCCATGGCCTCAACTGCTTCGCTTCGGGCAGCCTGCGAAACTCCAATTCCTCTTGGCTCAGGCAATCTTGAAACCGGCAACATTCGCAATCCTTCTGCCTTCATTATGAAGGCCGCAACTTGCTCAGCACGTAGCGCCTTCGAGTTGCTTCCCAGGTCTTGGGGCGGTTAGGCTTCAGACGCTTAAAATGAAGGTTGAAGGGTTCAGAACTGTAGGTTTTAGGGTCTGAGGAGTTTCGTCAGTGGGTCCTTGGTGGCTGGGAAAACGTTCTCGAGGCTTCGGAAACCAGCAATATAGTCACTACCCTTAGGCTCCTAAGATGGTCTTGGGCTTTCTGGGGGAGAGTTTCGGCTTTGGGGGCTAGGGGTCGGGATCTCACTACAAGGGTCCAGGAGCCTTAGGGTACTGTTGCAATAGTGTGCAATACAACTTAGACCCAACATCGGAAACCTGTCCTCAAGATTGGGTCAGTTTCCGCGCGCGAACTTCGATTTAGGGGCGGGATCCGTGTTGCCTCCACCTTAGCCTACTTGTTGTAGGGGGCTAGACTGTCCGAATACAAACCTTTACCTGCAGTATGTAATTAACTGTTTTCAAAGTGGAGCCTACAGGATGCAACAGGAGGTCCCCGTTAGTCAAGGTGTGTATTCAGGATTTGGATGTTACGGGTTTTGTTGGGTTGGGGCGATGGGTTGAGGGTGTTCAGAAGCCAGTGCCAGAATTTGGGCAGAGCTCGAACTTCAGCAGTTTGGAGTTTTTGCCAACAGCTCTGAACACCACATAGCAGCAACAATCACACGAGACACTGACACACCCACGGCCGTTAGCTGAAATTCATCAGAGTGGCAACATCAGCGCTTGAAGCCCTAAGCCCTGAAAAGACAGAAGGTTTACGTAGGGTAGGCCCAAACCCTATGAAGAAGTAGGCTGCCGGCCATAATCATGTAGCTTCGAAATCCTAAGTCCGGAATTTATTCGCCGTTTGTATCCAGAACGAGGTGCGAAGCCCCAGACTTTGCTTTCAAACCACCTGCGCCACACTGTAAGGTACAACAGCGACTCTCTTCAGACAAGGCGGCGCCCTGAGATTGTCGGCTTTCGGTGTGTTATCCGTGGTGTTTGTGGAATACTGGGCTAGAGAAGCTGGGACCCAGATGAGGCTCGGTTCGGTCGAGTAGATTATCGTATATCATGGTATATTATGGTATCTGATGCAGTACAGTATGTGGGTAGCAACTCATGGTATATTATAGTAACATTATACCTATAGTATCCATTGTAGTTCCTTATTTTGGTTTAACCAAACATATATTTAGGATCCTACAAGGTAACCCCCAAAAGGAACTACAATGGAGACTAGAGGAAGGCTCATGGGACTTAGTAAGTAAGGTTATCAGTAGGTTATTAGGATAACCCCACTTAGGGGACTTATAACCCCAGTTATAACCTACTTACTAAGTCCCATGATCCTCTAAGTAGAGGTAGTAACTTCTCGGGTTTGTTGAAGACCCACCTGAGCCCCTAAACCCCTTAAGGCCCTGAACCCCTAAAACCCCCTGAACCCTATAGATCCCTTTAAAGGAGCCCCTTTAAAGATCCCTTTAGAGGAACCCTGAACCCCCCCCCCCCTTAAAGGAGTGGTCCCTAGCCCTTGAGGACGGTCGTGGCCGGGGGGGTGGCCGCCGCTCGCGCTCCCGCTGCTCGGAAAACTGAAGGGATCGGGGGCTCCACTTTAGGGGTCCTTTGCGGTTTTAGGTGTTCTTTGTGGTTTTAGGGCTCCTTTGTGGTTTTAGGGGTTCTTTGTAGATTTAGTGGTCCTTTGTGGTTTTAGGGGTCTTTTGTGGGTTTAGGGGACAGTTGTGGTCTTAGGGGTTCTTTCTGGTTTTACGGGATCTTTGTGGTTTTAGAGGGTTCTTAAAGGTTCAGGGTTTAGGGTTTAGAGTTCTGCAGGGGGTTCAAGGGTTTAGGGTTTATAGTTCTGTAGGGGGTTCAAGGGTTTAGGGTTTAGGTGTTCTTGAAGGTATCTTTGTGGATTTAGGAATTTAGGGGTTCTTACAGATGTCTTCGCGAGTTTGGGGGTTCTCAAAGGTGTCTCTGTGATTTTGTGGAGGTTCTCGAAGGTTTCGGGTTTCCAGGGGAATTCCAGGGAGGGTTCTTCCAAGGGTCTAGTCTGTAGTGGTAGGGTTCTATGATCACGGGTTCAGGGCCCCGCTGTGGAGGGATCAGGGTTTAAGGTTTAGGGTCTAGGGTACTTAGTGAACGGGGAAACTTTAAAGTTTTTGGC